ACTTTTTTGTGAATTTTTGCAAAGTGGTTCTGCCTCTACAAGTGATTGCCAACCCTTATTTCGTGTCTTTCAGCTTGCTTATGTATTACTCAGTGCATTAGGTTTACAAACTTGGTCCAAATCTTGCCTTATCAATGCTTGCATATTTGATTTGATTCTCCATGAAAACCTTTCCAAATTTGATCCAAATCATATATTCTTGTAACCAATGCCTTTGATATGAATTTTATTCACATGATAGCTGTATTTGGAGCCTGAAATAGCCAAAAAATCATGTGTTATCAATGCTTTAGATTTTACATGATTTTATTTGATTTAAAATAAATTAATTCCAATAAAAATCAAATTAAATAGTAAAAATGAGATATGGACACATGGCTGGAGCTAAGGCACGTGGGGAATGATACAAACTCAAATCAAGTGGAAAAGAATGGGCCCATTTGGCAAAATTTGAAGTTTTGAGGATAGTTGACTTTTGGCAATTTTGCAAAAAAGTCCAACTTCAACAATGCATAACTTCTTCAATTTTGAACTTTTGGAGGTGTTCTTGGACTTTTTAGAAATATTGATATGTCCTTTAACCAAAACTTTTGGTCTCATATCATTTGGATATTACATGCTCAAGTTATAAGCTTTGGAAAAAAACGTGTTTTTGTTGACTTTCAAAAATGACCTATAATGTCCAAATTCATAACTTCTTGTGAGTGAATTTTTTCATCTTGGGGTATGAAGATGGATTGTAGGAAATTGCATCCTATTAAAAATTAGCTTTGAATGGGTCATTTCTCCTAAAGTATGAGAAAGTTATGCTTGGTCAAAGTTGAGTTGACTTTTCTTGCAAAACCCTAATTTAACAACTTTTGAGTCTTGATGAATATTGAGCAATCCTTGATGAATCATGATTAACCCTTGATCAAATGATGAAATATCCTTCAAAATGAGAATGTTGACAAAAAATCTTGAAGTTTGACTATATGTAGGTCACAGTTGACTTTTGCCCTAGCACAATCGATTTTTGGACCTTTTGAGCAATTGACTGAGCAAACTTTCTCTGCAAGGCTTGAAACTTGACATGGATGATCTTCAGAACATATTAGCACGATGTTTAGCATTTTGGGTCACTTGGATTCAAGTATCTTGATGCAACATGAAACCCTAATTTGGGATAGACTGCCTTAGGAGATAGCTTGTCTGACCAATTCTTGAGCAACCTTGAGCAACTTGGAAATCTTTCTTGCAATGTTTTGAGAAATATGGGAGGGAAAATTTTGGGGTACAATAGTAAGCATGGTGCATGAGCCTTTCATCTGCATTGTCGTCCATTTGCAACCTTCGTTCAAGTTGGAGTACAGGTAAACCAAGCATACTGTCTCCTATTTCACTCGCAAATGGACTCCAAGTCGATGAAATATATGAGGTAGGCCATATCGACATAGTTTGCATTTTTTTCCACAAACATGGACGTGCCAACTAAGAATAGGAAGAAGCACCTCATGGCATAATCATTATGGTAGGTAATCCATAAATCATCGATGTCTGGGTGTTCGGTGAAGGAAAATTGCGATAAAAAACGCAGCGGAATTAAAATTATCCTTTAGCGATCCTTACGAATGAGCATGGTCAGTGATAGAAATGTTTACCTCTTGTGGCGATTCAGACCTTTGATGTTGTGATCACGAGCATTGATGAAGAACAACGCCTCTACTCAGTCCACACGAACAAATCGCTTCCGGTCACAGTGCTAGCTGATCACGAACGGAAACCTTGAGTGAGAGAGAGAATCAAAAACGAAATTGCATCAAGTGAAATTGCTTCATCACAAGGGATCTATTTATAGAATCACTCGTGTGGGCTACAAGCTAAAAGCCCAATTAAGGCTATAAGCTAAAAGCCCAATTAAGCTTATGGACATCATACCTTATGATGTACCATATATCACTTATCCACGTGGTACCTTACCACTTTCCGTATTACACTTAAGTGCACCATACCTTACGGTGTTCCTTATTTATTCTATCTCTCATCAACCTGTCCTTATGTGTGTGACCCTGTAGGTTTTCGCGATGTTGGCAATTATATTAAATCACACATTTAATATAATAAACAGTGAGCGGTATCTAGCAACACATCACTGTTACCCAAGTCACAAAAATGTCATGTGATCTGACCAAACCTTTTCCGTGATAATCTTTGATGTTGTATAATTACCCTTTTGCCCTCATGTTTATATTGAACACAAGGCATACACTGTGTCACCCTTGTCCAGTTCAATATTGGGCCCTTAGACATTTATCCTGTTATGCAGGATGAGCAAATTCTATCTAGGTCACTCATGTCCCTTAGCATGCTTTATGAAGTACCCATCAACCGTCTTTATAGTCATCCAGTTACGGATAACGTTTGATCAACAATAAAGTACTTGACTCTACATCTAGGGTCCATAGTGGTTTCAGGTCGAAGGGTGGTATACACCATTATCATCATGAGAATAACTTATGACACTTTGCATAACATTCTATGTAGTATTCTCATAGCGGGTCAATCCAGTATAAATATTACTCCTAATATTCATACCTATGTCAAGACTTGATAACTCCTTATCTATGATCCATGAGATGTGATCATCAATCTATCTTCATAATAATCTTAATGCTTTAATGTTATCCCACTTCACATTAAAGATTGACTACGGATACTTTAAGAATAGTGTCTTATGTTTAATGGGATCTCATGATTAAGTCACACTTAACATTTCATTAAACAAATAAACCATTCTAGGGACTTTATTATTTTGGAAAGCAAACATAATAAAGAAATGCCTTTTATTATTAATAAATAATTCGATACAAGTACCAAAAGTATTAGCCTCTAGGGCTTACATCAACATTCGGATGTGTCCAAGTTTTTGCATACAACTCTGCCAACCAAACAAACTTGGCATGTGCACCTCTAGTGCTTTTACACTGCTCCAAGGCTTCCGCAGGCTCAGCTTCCAAATATATCACCATCATATCAATTGCTTAAATCATGTTGATCTTAGAATGATCAAGAAACCTTCCTCTAATGGGAAGGTGTATGAGGTATGCTACATCATCTAGTGTAATAGCCATCTCATCAATGGGGAGATGGAAATATGACGTCTCACTATGCCATCTCTCAACAAATGCAGTATGCATGCCATGGATGATGTTGGTGTACCGGAAAGATCAAAGACCTGCAAGTCCATAGTTTTGGAGTATATTTTGGAACCAGGCTTCCTTGGGTTGATAAAGATTGTGAATCTTTCTTGCATGATTCACATGTTTCAGACAATCATACTCCTGTTGAAAATAAAATATAACATGATCAGTTAAGTTGAATTTGGATACAAAATAAAAAATAGAGGAAGTTCAAAAATATACCTCTCACTCCCAAACATGCGGAGTCACATGCTCTCCAAAGTATATGAGTAAAGACGTGTTTGTGGGCCCTCCTAAAAACGGGTCTGCAAGGAGGACATACTCAGCAACTGGGACCCGGGGTACATCTGGGATCTGAGGTGCAACTGGGGCATCCTCGTCATGGGTCGCACGACTCTGGGATCACGACTCATGTGAAAGTCTTCTCCTAAAGGTCGATGCATCTCTATCGTGAGGTAGAGAAGGGGGCGAATCTAGTCTGCTCGTGCTGACTAGCCCTCTTGCGATGAGTAGAGATAATTAGGGTGGGTCGCCTGAGTCGCATCCTTCCTTGGTTTCCTTGGTTTCATCCATATCTTGACAAAAAAACATAACAAATTGTAAGGAAAGAGTTCATATATGCATCTTCGGACACCAAGCGCACCCAGTTCGGACATGTATATTCAAAAAATAACTATGTTATGCTTCAATGGCAGAAGTGCTTCTGTAACTTCCCTAGCATAAAAACTCATTCTAATCATATAAACAAAGTTTTCAAACTTGAACATCAACATATTTGAGCTATCTAATGCATTAAAAACTAACATTATTGAGTTAAAACATTAATCAAAAATCAAAATAAGTTAAATGAGAAATTTACTCAAAAATGTGTTGGTGAAGGATTAAAGCGCTCTGATGTTGAATGCAATTGTTAAAAGGAGTTGGAAATGATAAAAAACAAATAAATGTAGTTTCAAAACTTGACCTTGAGTGAGAACTTGAAATGGGTAGAATGGATAGAGAGAAAGTTGTTTTTCTGAAAATAAAGAAGGAGAAGAGGGATGGTCTGACCGAAATAATTAAATATGCTCACCCTTAAATTTTCGAACTAATTTTTTAAATTTAAAAAAAATATGTATTCGGAGATGCATTTTCGAATACACCCTTAAAATAACGTCAATTGTGCATCTCTGAATTTTATTGTGAAAAAATTAATTTTTAGTGCGTCTAAAAATATATTTCCAAAAATTAGAAGCATTTTGAAAATTTCATACAAGATTTAGAAGAATGTATAAGGGTAAGATGGAAAATTATTTTTTTATTTAAACAAAAATCTAACTTAATCTAAACCTGTATAGATTAGATAGTATTTTGTTAATTAGTAGGACATATTCCCACATTTACCTCCGTCCTCCAGCTAAATATCCTTGAAAATTTATTCTTAGCGATGTTTCAAGGTAAATCGGATTATTGGTTTGGTTGACTTGTTTTTTCTCCTTTGGTTCGGTTCTTTAGCTTTTTTAATTTGGTTGTTGTTTCGATTTTAACTTTAGCTGTGTTTTTTTTTCTCTTGTGCACGGATGCTCTTTGTACCTTTGTACGGTTTGTAAACTTTTACTTGCTATTAAAAAAATTCAAATGGAAAACATTGAATAAAAAATAAGTAAAAACTAGTGGAGATTACGAGGCAAAATCAACAGTATCATCATAAATAGCATATTTTTTTAAGAACAAGTTGTGGGTATAGAACATATTACAAGTTACCATCACCCAATGCATAGGAAAAGTTCAGAACATCATTAAATACAGTTTCGTAGGTTATTTCATTTCTCATGTTCAGAAATGTCAAACCTTTCCAATGGCATAGATTTGAATGAGAACAAAGAGAGAAAATCAGAAGCAGAACAAGAGTTAGAAGATGAAGAAAGTTTCTCACATGCAATACAACTTTGCAGCTCTACTGTGCTACCAATGGCACTTCAATCTGCAACCGAGCTTGGTGTTTTTGATGTGTTGCTAAAAGCTGGTAACGATGCTCCACTCTCCGCCGATGAGATTGCTTCTCGTCTTTCGATTACCAATCCTGATGCACCCAAAATGTTGGATCGGATCCTTGCTCTTCTTGCATCTAATTCTATATTGAAGTGTTTGGTTCTTCAAGATCAAGAAAGACTTGGATCATTTCATAGACTTTATAGTATGGCTCCTGTTGCTAGATTCTTTGCTCGTGATTCTGATGGTGTTTCGCTAGGACCCTTATTGGCTTTGAATCAAGATAAAGTCTTCTTAGCTACCTGGTAACTAGAAAACAAACTATTTGATCGATCAACCTTTCACTCCATCTTTTTTCAATCTTAACATTTAGTTGCTTGTAACTTAAGAAAACTAATTAGTTACAAAAATGTTTATTCATTCTTAGGCCGGAGCTTAAGAATGCAATTCGAGAAGGGGGTGTACCATTCGACAGGGTTTATAGCATGCATGCCTTTGATTATTCGAGTTTGGACTCGAGGTTTAATCAAGTTTTCAATACAGGTATGATCAACCATAGCAAAGCAGTTATGAAGAAGATTCTTGAATGCTACAAAGGTTTTGATAATGTAAAAAAGCTTGTGGATGTTGGAGGTGGTCTTGGGGTCAACATTAACTCAGTCACTACCAAATACCCTCATATTAAGGGTATTAATTTTGACTTGCCTCATGTCATACAACATGCTCCTTCTTATCCAGGTATGACCTTTTACATGTTCTTTATGATAATGAACAAAGTTGTTTTGCTCAATACCAAATAGGGTATAAGAGTTGGTAAATTTACTTGATGTTGATAGGAGTTGAACATATTGGTGGAGATATGTTTGAAAGTGTGCCTAAAGGAGATGCTATCCTTTTGAAGGTGGGTGAATATATATATATATATATATATATATATATATATATATATATATATATATATATATATATATATATATATATATATATATATATATATATATATATATATATATATATATATATATATATATATATATATATATATATATATATATATATATATATATATATATATATATATATATATATATATATATATATATATATATATATATATATATATATATATATATATATATATATATATATATATATATATATATATATATATATATATATATATATATATATATATATATATATATATATATATATATATATTGTTGTTGCTTTGATAAGTGTGATATATTTATATACATCACTGAATATAATGATAATTTTTTTTTTATATTTTCAAATGATATCAATTTGTATATAAATTTTATAGTGTGTACTTCATGATTGGAGCGATGAACATTGCTTAAAGCTTTTGAAGAATTGTTATGATGTTATCCCTGATGATGGAAAAGTTATTGTTTTGGAGGCAGTTCTTCCTATTATACCTGAAAATGGATATGCTTCGAAATGTGTCTCTCAAGTAGATGTTTTGATGATGACTTTAAATCCGGGTGGAAAAGAACGAAGTAAACAAGAATTTGAAAATTTGGCAACAAGAGTTGGATTTAGTGGCATCAAGTATGAAAGTAGTGTTCGTGGTTTTTGGATTATGGAGTTTTTTAAATAGTGTGTTGTGTTTGTTGCCTATCAATAGAATGGACCGGTGGGTGGTAGTTTATTTGTGTTCGTTAGAGTGTCCATGTGATTGGTTTTTGCTTGTTGTTTTTCTTTCTTGTTTGGTAATGTTGAAAAAGGCGGAAAATATATTCCATATGTGTTGTATATGTTGACAAATAAAATATGTTCAAATTATTTATGCACGATTTATGAAAATTTAACTAAAAAAGAACAATGATTAAGCATTTATTTTTGTTAATTGAATTTTAAAATTATTTTTTTCAAACGACTATGTTAAGAAAGATATTTTGTTCTCAACATGAGGATTCTTTAACTACTTCAAAGAGAGTTAATTACATGCGTGACAATGTAAACTATTAACCTAAGAAATTCATACAAATGGATAAGATAGTTTGGTTGATTAAATCTACCAAATAATATACAAGTTGTATTTTATATAGAAGAATTATCCTAATTGTCTATCTATGTGAGTAATGTGATCGCTATAATATGTGACGCCCCACGTCGTCGTATTTTATAGAATGTAAGTAACTTTTCTATTTGTGGTTCCACAATCTTCGTATTTTTTCAATTAGTAATGTTATTTAAACGCAACTTGGCTATAAAGCCTAATTATTCATTTACATGGTGTTTAGATAGAGTCTAAAGTCTTGAAAACCATGATATTATGCTCTAAGTATACTTGAGAAAATAGAAAACCAACTGTTATAAACCATCATATGGCCAATAAAATGGAGACAGCCTGACACACTTGATTTTTCCAATACCTACCTTAGCCTTATGAACACCTCAAGCTCTTAAGATCAATAATTACTTAGGCCGTTGTTATATATAACTCATAGTTTATATCTATTCTCACATTGTGCTACTTACTTTGATTTTCCTTTCTTTTCTGAACAACAAGATTTCTTCATGGTCTTCATTCTTCCTTAAATTTTCTTTGTCAAAATAAATAATTCCTTCTAACAATGTCTTCATCTAGTTCACAAAATTGTAACCACACTTATGGTTAAGATGATTCTATGGACTCCACTTTCTTAGCTTCATTCACTATATCAGTTGGTGTACCTTCCAACATTTTGACGCTCTAGTCCTAATCAAAGATAATTTCACGTCAAAGTCCTTCCACTCCATATAAGGTGTTGAAATCTTGTTCTTCAAGCATTTTCACAACCTTTCCTCCTCTACAAATGATTATCTTACGTGGCTAGCTTTGATGGGTATATCCAAAGGATGGGATTGAAAGATTTGGGAAATAATCAACATGATCAAATTATATGATGAAAAAATGAAGTTTGACATGGAGAACTTCGTTGGGCTACTTATTCATTGGTTTGTAAATGTCAATACTTGCATGTCCATTTTAATATGGAAGCCAATCTTGACCTACCTATTTCTACGACTAAAGCTCCATCACCTCCACAATACTCTAATTCCTTGATTAGGCATTTCATTTTCCAAAAGAACCTTTGAGTACTCTTAGAATGTGTGAGTGGATCTAATTCGACCCTACAAAATCGGCTTGTAGGGTGAGGATTGTCCTCATTTATAATCACATGTTCATGTTATATATTGTCTGATGTGGGACTCTTAACACCCCCTCTCACGTCTAGGGTGAAGTATGGAGCGTGGAACTAAATGGTAGGTGTCCTGATAGCGGAGTGGTTCAACGGATCTTAAACCGGCCTCTAATATCATCTTAGAATGTGTGAGTTCTAGAGAAGCAATAGAAGCACATGCCATCGATGGAGAAAGATAATATAATCCTCCAACTTCACTCCCAGCTCCAATCGTTCGTCATGTACGTCGATCCTGGATATAAATAGAATTATCACTAAAAATAACTGAACAATCAAGAGTACGAATAAGCTTGTGAACAAATATTAGATTAAAGGGACAACCAGGAATGTAAAGGACATACTCTAAAGACAAGTTTGGAAGTGGATGTGCCTGACCAAGGCCTTGAACTTTGATTTTAGAACCATCCACTACAGTGACAGAAGACAAAGAATCAGAATAAGACAAGTGAGATAAAATATATTTATTACCATTCATATGATCAGAGGCACCAGAGTCAAGGATCCAAGGACCAAGAGAATATATAGAGACAAAGGCTATAGGATTACCCGACTGAGCAACAGCGACATATGATGATTGTTGATGGGCTGCTTTGTATTAAAGGAAATCATTGTAATCAGCGGCGGGAATAGTAACCTCTTTAGAGATATCCGGTTGAGCAATGTCAGTGATCCGTGGTTGTCGTTGTTATTCTCTTGCCTTTGTATGACAATCGACTTCAATGTGACCGTAATAATTGCAATAGTTACAACGAATACTTTGACGTCTACCCTTTCCTCTGGTTCATCCACCACGACCATGATAGTAGGAAGCGAGAGCAGATGATTCAGTGGGAGTGGAAGTAGGAATTGGTCCAAAAGCATGAGGTGTAGCCAAGCGTAACAATTGTTCACTAACTGCTTCATAGTTAGGAACGTTGGTTCCTGATAAAATCTAATTCCGAACAGAATCAAGTTCAGATGGCAGTCCGACGAGTGCCATGACCATGAAATACTTACTTTGTTATTCAGTATAAGTTGTTGTATCTTTCGTAAAGGGAATTAAGGTTGTCAAATTTTCCTTTAACGCATCACACTTAGTCAGATAGCCTTGCATATCCATATTCTCCTATTTCAAAGAGTGGAGTTTAGTGATGACACTGTAAAGATTATGGACATCATTTGAGAAGACTTTCTTATCTTTTTCCCAAACCTCGTAGCAAGTGGTATAGGCTTGGTATTATGCTTGGAGATTAGTTACTATGGAATACCATAACAGAGTTCATAGAGAAACATCAGTTTGTTTCCACTTATCGTGTTTGGCAGCGAGAATGGTATCGGCTTTTGTAGTTAAGTGATCCTCATATCCCTGACTGTGAAACCACATCTTGACAGCACTGGCCCATATATTGTAGTTGGTTGTTCCAGTCAGTATCTCACACGGAATAAGTGGAACTTTAGTGAACGTAATATAATCGGTACCTCCCATGACATTTAATGGTTCATAATGAAAAATCGAGAGAAGATCTAGAAAGAGGAGCAAAAACTGAGACAAGTAAGAAAAACGGCAATTGCAGACGCGCAGCTGGAAGTCTAGCGTGTGAGATTCACACGCAAATGAAGAAGAGGCGCGTGCGACGGTGGGAGGCGGTGAATTTTTTGGAATTTGGTCGATCTGGAGGAAACGATTCCAGCGGTATAGGAATATTGCCGAAAAGTCTACAAGAGCGGCGAAGACAGTGGCGGGAGTGAGTGGCCGGAAAAAAAAAGGAAATAATTTTTTTTATGGAACACATTAGGTCAACCAGCTCTAGATACCATCTTATAATGTGTGAATGGGTCTAACTCGACCCTACAAAACCGGCTTATAGGTGAGGATTACTCTCACTTATAAGCATATATTCATGCCATATATTGTCCGATATGGGACTCTTAACAAGTACTACAAGTTCTTAGACTCCATTTTCAAGAATTAGGGCATCATTCATGATGTTGAGCACCACACCTTCTCCAACAATTTCTTCGTGGGTATTGGATCTTTCAATAGATGGTACTCTACATTTCCATCTTATATGATAAAATAAGAAATAATTCTCCAATTTCCCTCATTATTTCCCTACTCTACCAGTTGTTATTCAACATATTGAAACTACTGGGTGAGGGAAAAGTTATCAAGATAATAAGTGGTCTAATCTAGGTTTTCCAATTGTGGCTTCCCTTGTACATTCCTAAATTTTTAAATAAGAACTAAAACTCCGACTTCATCCCTAGATACATACAGGTCTTGAAGGACTATTTCATTAGCTACCATACACATTCTAGTACCATCTCCTTGGATACCAAACAACTACGTTCACATTATGGCTCAAATTCGTAGGCCCTGATTTTCTTTAAACCATGGGTCCTTTCCAGAGTCACTCACACAATAGAGGAAGATTTGTCTCTCTGGGTACAAATTATTGTGAAGGAGAATTAGGCCAATATCCTTACACACAATAACCTTTTTTTTAAAGCCCGGAAGTAGGAACAATAAAACCTAGTTGAGTCGTATAACCCTCATTATGTTGTGAAGAAGTTTCAGCTTCAGTAACATATTTTTCTCTGCAATGAGTCTGTTGTACCCCAAAATTTTCCCTCCCATATTTCCCAAGACATGTCAAGAATCATCTCCAAGTTGCTCAAGATGGCTCAAGAGTTGGATAGTCAAATCATCTCCTAAGGCAGTCAATTCAAAATTAGGGTTTTGTGTTGCATTAGGGTCATTACATCCAAATGACCTCAAGTTCTCCACAATGTCCTAATATTTTCTCAAGTTCATCCATGTAAAATTTCAAGCCTTGCAGAGAAAGTTTGGTCAGTCAATTGCTCAAGAGGCCCAAAAATCGACTGTGCTAGGGCAAAAGTCAAATGTGACCTACAAACAGTCAAACCTCAAGATTTTTTGTCAAAATTCTAATTTTGAAGTATAATTCATCATTTTATAAAGGGTTGATCATGATTCATCAAGTATTGCTCAAGATTCATCAAGATTTAAAAGTTGCTAAATTAGGGTTTTGTAGGAAAAGTCAACTCAACTTTAACCAAGCAAAATTTTCTCATAATTTATGATAAATGACCCATCCAAAGCTCATTTTGAAGAGGATGCAATTTCATACAATCCATATTCACACCCCAATATCAAGAAATGCACTCACAAAAGTTACAAATTTGGACATTATAGGTCATTTTTTGAAAGTCAACAAAAACACCTTTTTTTCCAAAGCTTATAACTTGAGCATGGAATGTCAAAATGAGATGAGACCAAAAGGGTTGGTTAGAGTACATCTCAAGGGTTCTAAAAAGTCTAAGAACACTTCCAAAAGTTCAAAATTGAAGAAGTTATGCATTGTTGAAGTTGGGCATTTTTCCAAAATTGCCAAAAGTCAACTATCCC